GGAATCAAGTCATTGGGGGTGAGAGACACAATCACTGCCAAGGAATCAAGCCATTGGGGTGAGGGGCACAATCACTGCCATGGAATCAAGCCGTTGGGGTGAAGGACACAACCACTGCCATGGAATCAAGCCGTTGGGGTGAAGGACACAACCACTGCCAAGGAATCAAACCATTAGGGTGAGGGATACATTCACTACCAAGGAATCAAACCATTGGAGTGAAGGATACATTCATTGCCAAGGAATCAAGCCATTGGGGTGAAGGACATGCTCACTACCAAAGAATCAAGCCATTGGAGTGAAGGTACACAATCACTACCAAGGATTCAAGCCATTGGGGTGAAAGGACAATCATTGCCAAGGATTCAAGCCATTGCGGTAAAAGGACACAATCATTGCCAAAGATTCAAGTTACTCAATGCCATTAGGCTGGAAGGGGCAATGATACCTGCAAACAAATTCTGACGCCTTGCGTGTTACCTGCAAAAGAGATAAAAAGACATGAAATAATTGCCAAAAAAAAAAAAATTTAATTCGTATCGTTAAAATTCACTTGCACGAATCACGAGTGGACAGGCCTTGATTAGATTAGATTAAAAAAAAAAAGGGAGACAAATTTGTACAAAAAAGGCTGAAAATTTGTGAGAGTTTCAACCAAAGAAGCCAAAAAGAAAGCAGATTTTTGTAGCTTGGGATCTTACTCTTATTTGTTCAAGGATACAAGCAGGTTCTTTGGTCATATCCACAAGCAATGACTTTGTATATAGGCTGTTAAAAAATTTGCTAAATAACACAGCAACAAACAGGTTGCTGCTGTAAAAAAACCAACAAAAAACAAGAGTTGTTTGTGTTCACATTGGGGCCATATTAGGTTTAGCAAAATCTGCTAAACAAAAGAGGTAGCAAATCTTTATTTGGGTTCATGTAGGTTATATATGTGTAAAAAAAAATGACTCATGTAAAAAAATTCTGCTAGAGGGCTAAGTAAAAAAATAAGAAGAGGTCTCAGCTTTAAAAAAAAAGAAAAAAAAAGGGGACTGTTGCTATATGAAAAAATTGTGCCAGGTACAGACATCATCTTCATTCTACCCATCTTTACTCATCTTCATATAAAAAGTCTACATACAGCTTCTTAAAAAAAAAAGAAAAAAAAAAAGAGAAAGGGACTGTTGCAAAAAAAAAAAAGGGGATGTGGTCTTCATGTAAAGGTCTGTGTTTGAAACAATGGTGTGCCAGGTACAGGTATCATTTTCATCCTACCCATCTTTACCTGTCTTCATATAAAAGTTTATGTACAGGTAATCATCTTTGGATTATTTATAGATTTATGATTTGGAGTTCTGGTTGAATGAAGTAAAGTTCTTAGGGCTTGTGGTATCAGAGAATGGGATTGCGGTGGGTCCAACCAAGGTGGAGGCAGTATTAGATTGGAGACAACTAAAAACCGTGTCAGAAATCCACAGCTTCTTAGGATTGGTCGATTATTACCGGAGGTTCATCCAAGATTTCTCCAAACTAGCTAAACTAATGACTCGTCTGACACAAAAATGAGTAAGGTGTGAGTGGGACAAAAAAAAAAAAAAAAAAAAACTGCTAAAAAAAAAAAATATGATAAAAAAAAAAAAAAAAAACAGAAGCAACAAATAGGGAAGCATACTTCATTAAAAGGAATTTGAAGGAATTCTTTTGTGCCTTCTTTAAAGTGTAAGAAGAATAGCTTCTGCTGGGAAGAGAAGAAAGACAATGGCTAGACAACTTCTGATGGAAATAAACTGAAAGGATGAAGATCTAATATGCACTACAAAATTTGTAGAGAAAAAAAAGAAAGGCTGCTGGAAACCAAAAAAAAAAATCTGTTGGGAGGAAGAAAGCTGCAGGGAAAATATATATGGGTTGTAATGCATGAATATGTATTATATAAAGTAAAAAGTCTTGCTTAAGAAAAGAGGTAGTGGTCTCTTAAAACACTCTAAAGAAGCAAGAGTTCATATAGGATTTAAAATTCTATCAATGTCAATCCATCCTATTTCATTTAGACAAACTCCTAATATATATATATATATATATATATCTGCTGTAAATAAAATAAAAAAAATAAAAAAAGTGATAAGTTAGAGGCTCACAAAAGAAAATGCCCAATTAAAAAAACGATGGCTTAGAAAAGGAAATGTTCACGATGGCCTAGAAAAATTCATGATGGCCTAGAAAAAAAAATTTGCTGTAAAAAAAATAGTGACAAGTTGGAGGCCCACAAAAGAAAATGCCCAATTAAAAAATGGTAGCCTAGAAAAGAAAAGATCCATGATGGTTTAGAAAAATCCATAATGGCCTAGAAAAAAATCTGCTATAAAAAAATGATGGCAAGTTGGAGGCATTTGTTGGCACATAAATATCAATCGAATTTATGTTTAAATTTCAAATATAATCAATGATACACATAGAGCCTATGGTAAGATTGTTGTAGGCAATCACTTCCCAAAATGATCAATTTGCTCCGTTGAAGTGTATAAATGAAACGACGTCGTATCTCAACGACGTTATTCAAGATGCTCAAATGACATGTAGAGCTTGCAAAAGATGACACCTGTAGAGCCTACAGCAAGGATACCACACAGGATGAAACCCCAAAGATCAATCCGACTAATTAGATATACGATTAATCATATAGCGCTATCATTCAAAATTCAAATGGTGCTATCATTCAATTTGAAATTCAAATTGAGGATGAGGCATTCTTATCACCTAGATGGCCCTCTATAAATACGAGGACCATTACACAAGATCAGGGATAAGAAAATCAGAAGTGAGAAGATGAGTGAGAGAGAGAGAGAGAGAGAGAGAGAGAGAGAGAGAAATCAGGAACTAAAGAAGATGTTACAAGAAAGAAGAAAAGAAACCTAGAGAACTCAAGAACCTACGCTACAAACGCAGAATGACGATGAATAAATAAAGGGTTCTAAACCCAAGAATTGTACTTTGTATTCAAGGGTTCAAAACCCATAACAATTTCAATAAAATATTTATTTTTCTTAAATTGTTTTCTGTTATTTATTTTGTTCTTCATTAATCGAAAGTTTCATTTATATAAAATGTGTAATTAACGATCTGGAACATAGATCAGAAATAGGAACATGCTATTCAAATAATCAACACTATTTAGTTCAAAAACTAAACAGTGACAGTTGTAACATAAAATTTTGAAATGTGTTGAAACACTTCATATTTTAAAATTTGTGTCTACAAACACTAATTCCTATAAATTTCTATATTTTTTGTTTTATTATTATATCTTAACTTGTTTTGTTCAAACTTATAATTAGTTTCACATATGTCTAATTGATAGACACGTGTTTAAGCGATTGACATGTGTGTCCTCCAAGTATTCAAAGAGTGTCCGGATCTTTAAAAAAATTTTAAAAATAAGATACGTTTTGAAGAGTGCTGAGCATGTCTTAAGAACGTCCAAAGAGTGCCGGTGTCCAATTCGGACACAACACGGATATGTTGCTTTCTTAGAAGTGTCATGCTTCTTAGCCTTAATACAAACACAATCATTAGGAAGAGGAAGGTTATCAACAGCTAATGCAAATAAATTGCCAAGGGTAAAGTATTTTTTGCGGTGGAGGTAGAGACATCGAAGCCACAATCACTTCCAATCACAGAATTATATACATAGAGAGCTTGAGCCATCAAGTGGAGCTCATTCAATGCTAAAGCCTAAAGCTTTGCCATGAAGGGTAGAGGCAATATAAACAAACTGGTGTAATGCTTCGGTTAATTGGTGAGAAGTATGAAACAACAACAATTAAAGCACATAGTCCCTCAATAAGAACAAGTTGTGCCTTCATTGTTCAATACTAAAGATCCAATGGTTTTCTAGTTCTTCAACTACAAAACTTGACAATAATTAGTAACACCAAATTATTCTCAAGCCCAAGAATGATTTCAAGAATGCAATGATGAAAGAATAACTCAGAGGGCAACAGGGGAATTGCAAGTAATCCGCAGAGATACTGAAGCTTCTGAGGGCAAACAGTTTTGGATTTAGCAGCTGCTACTAAAATGAACGGCATGGTTAGATTGCCTTCATTTTTGTGCAACAAGATGAAGGTAATCTCTCAAACTCCTAATATCTGCATTTATGAATGTCATATCCTGAAGATGAACTCTCTCTCCTTTAACAAATACAGACAACTTGAGCCATCTAGTGAAGCTTCACTCAAAGCTAAAGCCTAAAGCTTTGCCATGAAGGGCAGAGGCAGCATAAACAAACTTGGTGCAGCCATCTAGCAGAGAGTACATTAGTCTAGTTTGCTAAGTTCCTTTATGATTGCTTATATATATATATACAAAAAGTTTTTTTACTTGAAAACACTGGTGTGTGTAATGCAATGCTCCGGTTGATTGGTGAAAAGTATGAAAGAACAAGAATTAAAACTAAAGAGTCCCTCAACAAGAAAATATGCATACATGGTTAAATAGTGACATTCAGGTCATGTTTGATTCACAATACTAATAGTGAGGTATTAATAAAGAGTACATTAGTCTAGTTTGCTAAGTTCCTTATATATATATATATATATATACAAAAGTTTATTTTTTACTTGAAAACACTGGTGTGTGTAATGCAATGCTCCGGTTGATTGGTGAAAAGTATGAAAGAACAAGAATTAAAACTCAAGAGTACCTCAACAAGAAAGTATGCATACATGGTTAAATAGTGACATTCAATGTTTTATGAAGTCCTTTAATTACAACATGTCAAATAATTAGCAACACCCACCAAATTATTCTCAAGTCCAAGACTGATTTCATGATCGCATTGACAAAATAATTACTATATTACTGTGTACATGAATCAACTGACATGTTCAAAATCATACGCAGTGATACTAATAAAATCCTCTGATAGTCAATCAAATAAACAACTTTTAACAACAGCATAGAAGACAAACAAACAAGTGAATGACCAAAACAACTAATCCTTAGCAGATTTATCATCAAACAGGAGCGAGACTCTCAATGTATTGATAAGTATCAAAACATCCAAATTGCAGTATATGGTTCTTGTCAATTTTCGCAGGCGCAAAATCCAGAAGCTCCTTCAATGAACTATCCTTAAAGTTATAAGATATCACCTTACCGGGTACACTCAACACTAGAAATGACTCATCTTCATTGTCTTCGCGAAGAACACCAAGTATAGAGAATGCATAATAATTCCCATCATGAGTGTCCAGATAGCTCCGAACCATCTCAGGAAATGCAGCTACAATACCATCAAGATTAACAGAAAACTTCACAAACCATTGAGAGTAGTCTCTTTCCATCTCAAGAACTCGAAATTGCGTAGTCTGTGGCCCGTAAACTTCAATAAGATGCAAATGGCCATTAGACTCGCCGAAAAACCTATACCGCCTCGTATACCAATCCGTGTCAAGTAGCGGAAGCGGAGGCATTGTTCCCAAACACTCCCCATCAACACTGAATCGCAATGAAACCCCACTGGGACTAATCCAGTGAATCGCACGGTTCCAAAAAACCCCATCAGTGAACAGCATATCAAATTGAGGTCTAAAGCTATCACCAGAGAGCCTCCAAGAACGAGTCTCCGATGAATAAATCTCAATCTGGCGACAATGAATCGACAATGGGGTGCTTCGCACAAAAACCACATTGTAGTGCGGTGAAATTGAAGGATCAAAAGCTAAATTAACACCGAAAACAGAGGAAACATCAGCACGAGGCAAGTCAAGAAGCAGACGGTGCTTGGTTGTGGGATTGACAACGTAGTAACGGCGAACATTTCCGATTGAATGTGGAAAGCTACAACAGAGCAACAAACCATTGCAAGATTGAAGAATTTTGGTACCTGAACCAGAAGGGCGGTGGAGAATGGAATTGAGAGATCGGAATGGAGGAGGAGAAGGAGATTTAGAGAGAGAATCCCGGAGAGGAACGAAGTCGAAGTCGGGCGGCGTGAGGCGGAGGAGGAGGGCGGAGGGTTTGGAAGCGGAGTGGCGGAGGGTGTGGAGGAGAGAGAAATGGGGGTTAGAGATGAGAGAGGACCAGTGCTTGGACACGGATTTGAATCGAATCAGAGACTTCACGGGGGTGCGAAGGAGGATCTCGCTCAAGGCATCGTCGTTGCCGGCGATTGCGTGGGCTGATGATGGCGGCGACGCCGTAGGGCCGTCGTGTTCCAAAGCCGATGAAGCGACGGCGGCGATGGATACCATTTTGGATGCTGGATGGAGTGGTAAACTGTGATGTGATGTGAAGATGGCGCTGCGCACCACAACTGCTCTACGCTTTTTTGTTTGCTGCTCATAAATTTATCATAATTATTGTCAACCACAAGACATCACTGTCATAATTTTTAAAATAATCTAAGTTATTTATGTTATTGTGAGATATGATTTTTTAATGTTGTGTTTGGTTAAGAAATTTATGAAAAAATTTAAAAAAAAATAAAAAAGGTAAGTAAAATGCGAAAAAAATATGTTTACATTTCACATAATTTTACACACTTTTTTCTTTTTTCTTTCTAAATAACTCCTCAAATCTCTGAACCAAACATAGCGTAAAAAAATTCAAACACATCAATAATTAATACTCTCTCTGTCTCAAAATATTAGTCCCTTATTTCATTTTTCATTGTCCCAAAATATTAGTCTATTTTCAAAAATTAAGTACAAAAATAATATAAATTTCTTATTTTGTCATTCTTTTAAATTAATAAATAATATAAAAAGTACAATTATGACATTGATATTTTTAAAAAAAATATACTATCAAAAAAATAATTTTAAAAAATTAATTTTTTTTTTCAAATATAATAATTATATTATGAAAAATAATAACATTCTCCAATAATTAAATTCAAAAAAAAAAATTATTATTTTGGAACGAAATGAGTACGTAAATAAGAGTCATAAAGTATTTTTACCGTACGTCGCCAACATTTTCTTAAATTTGTTTTGGCTGACGTTGTGATTTAAAATGGATAACCGGCTGGGGGTAAGGTGTATATTAGGCCTTCGTTTGGGAAGTGGGTTGATTTTTTGGCTTTTTAGTTTTTTTTAGCTATTTTAGCTTGGGCTTAAACGCTTAGTTTGGGAAGAGCTTTTTGACTTTTTGACTTTTTTGAGTTTTTTTTGAAAGAAGAATGTAATGATTATGGGTTGGATGTGATATTTTGTTTGTTATGGCTAAAATAGCCTATTTTGTTTTTTGTGGCTAAAAAAGCCAAAAAAGTCCAAACCATGGCTTCCCAAACGAAGCCCTAGTTGATCATTTAATTGTTGTATTGGAAGATAGTTAAAAATTTTATATTTTTGTCAATTTTGTTAAAGGACAAATTATGACAAGAAGTATTTGCTTGGTTTCATTATTCAAAAAACACTTATCAGAAAATTATACTTTCTTATTTTTGTATTTTTTTGTTTTTACTGAATTTTTTAATATTTTAAGCATTTTATGATATGCGTTTACACTTAAGAATTATCTTTATAAATGAAAAAATTATCAATCAAATATAATTTGAAAAAGTTATCATATATGTATGAAAAAAATTATAATTATAATTATAAATATGAATAAAGTTTATCATTATTTTGTAGTTATTTTTAAAGTTTTGAACTATTCTAAAATTTTCCTTTATAAATACCAAATATCATTCCGTGAAATTCTAGGGTTTTTAATTTAATTATCTAATTAACCGATTTTACTAGTTTAAGGATAGTTTTAAAATTTTAATTATTGAAGGACCCTAACATTTTTTTGAAAAAATTTACTTTAAGCTTAAACTACCACATTACTTCAACCATAGTAACTGTTACCTCCAATTGTCGTGGATGATGATTTTTCAATGACCCTCACCGGTTGTCCTTATTTCTTACGATTTTCCAACAAAGTTTTGTGCAAATATTCGAGTCACTTTTTGGGTAAAAGAAAATTTTGTTTTGAAACAAAAAAAATTATACAAAAGTTTCAGTATTTAAAGCCTTCAATTAAATTTATATAGTTAAATTTACAGTTAGGTACTTTATTTTTGCATTTGATTTCCTTTTTACAATTTTTAAACTTTAATTAAAATTTCAGCAGGGCTAAAAGGTTAAATTTCATTGACTTGTGCAGCGAAAGCTTATACCAGACTCACGGTGAAATCGCAACCGCACACCAAATATAACGGTCTCATTTGGGAGCATTTAGGTGTCATTGGTTAATATTTACGTTTTTAATTTTTTATTTATATTTATAAAAATTTAAAAAAGTGAAATAAAAATTTGTTTGGTAAAATTTTTGATTTATAAATAAATAGTCTTAGTTTATAAATTTGGCTAAAAAATAAAAACACAAAAAATATATTTCCGTTTTGAGTTTTCAGTTTT